TTTATAGGTTTTTCTTAAATATTTTGATTTTCGATTAAATTTTTTCCTTAAATATTAACACATCTTAAAAACCCAAGCGAGCCGACCGAGGTACACGTCTGAAGAACAAATGAAAAGTCCAATAATCCAGTGACAGTACATAATCCAATTCCACTAACCGGCTCGTTTATGTATCAAGTTCCAAAAAATATTTCTTGCAACGTAAGGAGACCCTTAAACGAAACACCAGTTTTCCTCATCAGCAGCTACAAGCTACGTTAAGATTCGGAAGCTTTCAGTAATGAGCATGAGAGCTGAGGGGGGGATAGGCCCATGTGTAGAAAGTCCCGCAAGTGACGAAAGTTTTTGACTGTCATTCACCAGGTATTGGCCAGGAATGATTCTTTTTCATATGATTCAAGCAGCTCACAACTTCCGGTTTTAGACCGGAAATCCCCTGGGTAGCCAACAAACATCCGTTTGGAGGTGAGCTAAAGTGAGAAGGCGAGGTTTGAGATCCACGACATGGAAACCTAAACCCAATGAAGATACGCACGTGCCTCTGTGTATCGAGGAATGCGCGTCAAAAAACATAAGAAAGGTTCGACGTTGAAAAGCTGCAATTACAACAGACTTTCGAGTGGTTTTCTACTCGACTTGTACTCCTACTCTCTGAGAGCACTCATCAGCAACTCGGTATAAGGGACTGTGGGGCGGCATTTCGAACTCCCTACGAACCGCTGCTAACGAAGCTACTGGATTTCGCATAGGTCGAGAAAACAGCTAGTACGATGAGGACAGTCGTGCCGCGGTGGACAGAAAACAGACTGTCTACCAGCCTTACGATCAACCGCAACACCTGCGGGGTGGGATAGATACCGAGAGCTGAAGAGGAAGACAAGACGCATTTGCGGGCGGAAAATTCTGTGAAAAGATACGACGGCTTACAGATGGTTTCAAGTCCGGAACAGACTCTTGTAGGACACAAAGATGTGGTCTAGCAACCGATGCCCAGAGTAAGTTGAGTTTATGGAGAGAGCACTTCTCCATCCTGCTGAATAGTAGTAAAAACGGTAGCGAGTCCGAAACCCCAATCGATCACGATGGAAAAGACGTTCCATTACCTGACCATGAAGAAGTGCGAATAGTGATTGCCCGCTTAAAGAACAACAAAGCGGCGTGAGCTGACGGCCTACCGACAGAACTATTCAAGCATATGGTCGGTTGAAACCATGCCCGACAATTGGAATTTAAGTGTGCTCTGCCCAATCCATAAAAAAGGGGACCCCACAGTCTGCGCTAATTACAGTGGGGTAAGCCTCCTTAATATCGCCTATAAGGAACTGTCGAGCGTATTGTGTGAGAGACTAAAGCCCACCATCAAAAAACTGTTTGGACCTTATCAGTGTGGCTTCAGACCTTGTAAGTCAACTATTGACCAGATATTCACCATGCGCCAAGTCTTGGATAAGACCCATTATTTTTTTCGATTTGGAAGTTGCCCTCGACAGCTCGAATAGGAGTTGTGTCTACGCCGTCTGAATTTGGTATCACCGCAAACTTATACGCCAGGGCAAACTTACGCTAGGCAACACCAGAAGAACTGTCGGAATTAGGAAAGACCAAACTAGGTTTCAGACAGGGTTCCTTGTCGTGTGACTTTTTTATTTTATTGCTGGAGAAAATATTACGAACTGCAGAGCTGAATAGACTGGGTAAAGAACGAAGCGAATGGGTCTGGTAGTTAATGTGGGCAAGACGAAATATCTCCTGTCATCAAACAAACGGTCTCGCAATCGTGACTCGGCGTCACGTCACTGTTGACAGTCATTACTTTGAAGTCAGCCTTGACATCCAACGCAGAATCACTCTTGTCAACAGGTGCTACTTTGGACTGAGAAGGCAATTGAAAAGTACAGTCCTCTCTCGACGAACAAAAAAACTCTGCAAGTTTCTCATCATACCCGTCCTAGTGTAGAAGCGTGAACGATATCAACATAAGATGAGTCGGCTCTAGGAGTCTTCGAGAAAGAAGAAAAGTTCTGCGCATAATTTATAGTCCTTTGCGCATTGGCAACAGAAAATATCGCAGATAGTGGAATAATGAGCTGTGCGATCTGAACATTGATTTTGAAGTAGTTCAGCGAACGAAGGAAAAACGGTTACGCTATTCAGTTCATGTTTCCCGGACGGATGAAAGCAATCCAGCTGTAAAAGTGTGCGATGAAGCACCCACTGGTGAAAGCAGAGAAAAAGGTAGACCTCTAGTCCGTTAGTAGGATCAGGTGGAGAGTGACCTGGCTTCACTTGGTTTTTCCAACTGGCGTCAGACAGCGAAAAGAGAAAAGGAATGGCGCGCGGTTTCAACGGCAATAAAGAAGAAGAAGATATGGCTAATAGATTTTTCGAGGCTGACATTTCCTGCCGAGGGATGATTAGAATTAGAATAACCTGATTTTCTTGGCAATGCCAACCAGTCGGCTATTGTGGCCGTGAAGTTCAAAGTTGGTTTGTATGCATTGTCAAACCTTGTCATCTTGTAACAGACTAGTTAAGTCTATGCCTTTGAAATAAACAGCTGACCGGAATGATATTCGGATATTTATTTTGATCACAGAAGAGGTGTTTGGCTATCGCAAACCTTATAGCAAGTGTTAGCGCTTGACTACAGACATCCTCAAGTCTCAAGGTCAAACTTAGACACAGTAGGCATGGCCGCTATAAAGCCGCAAAATATAATATTACCTGAAAGCTAGAAACTCTGCATTTAGTAAATCGCTTACTATATTCACAATATCTGACAAAATCCCAATCCTCTCCACGTGAATGACATGCTGAAAGAAACCACGGCAAAGGCCTAGATACCCAAGCCCTCTGCCAATTGATAATTATCGACGGAAGAAGTCCACGTTGACCTTTCTTATAGCTAGCTTCGACGAATCCGTGAAGAAGTTAAAAGCTCCTTTCCTTCAACGGCTGGATTTTAATTAAAAACTAGGGATTTAAATGGAACTAGGTTTTACAAAGGTTTACCTGTCCTCTCCTCTCTTTTCATTAGAAAGAATTATTTTTGCTGAACAGCGGAATGTCGTCCAACGTGCAGCTCTCGGCCTAACCTTGTTTAGATAGCTAGTTTATAGTTGAAAAAGTATTGGTTAAACACAGGAAGTCGGCTCTAGCTTAGGACACTCTGCTATTCTGCATGGATTACTTTATTCTCGAATGTGTCTTTAGAGTTCCTTCTCCACCATAATCTCTTCACACCACGGAAGAAGCGCTTAATGAAAATCGATAGGTGGAGCTTGAAAAGCCTTCCACTGTTCGGGTGGTATCTACAACACGTTAGTAGGTTTCAAGGTTGGTTTGGTCAAGTCGGCGCCGCTTCTCATGGGCTTATGATTGAAATAAATAGAGTTGTATCCTTACTTAATCCAGCGCCATATTTCTTCGGAAATATTTTTAATGACTATGTAACTAATTTGAAGCTAGGAGGCTTTTCTTTTTTCTTTATTTCGCTGTTTGACACCGCTTAAATTAAGGTCCTCTCCCAACTCTTTTTCAACTGAAAAGGAGAACTTCCTCTTCCTCTGATTCCACCAGTTGGTATTACATCGAAAACTTACAAAACTAAACGATATAAACTAGCCAGCCCAGCCGCTGACTCTGGGTTCTCTGTCGTAATGTCGTGAATTATGAAGGACTTGCAAAGTTTGGTCTTTGATCATCGCGAGAGAACTTTAGTTTTCAACATAAGATGCACATTCATATACATAATCCGATTAACAAATAAAACATATGACTTAATTAAAGTAACGTCACTCGACAACAGGCTAAACTAACTTGCCGCGATTAGAAAGCCAGCCGCATGACAAGTAGAGAGGAAGTTTGAGTCTACTGCTTTAGAGAAATGTAGCATCTGGTGAAGAGCTACTTAACTTCCTATTTGCTCCAAGTCAGGTATTTAGAGACACTGTGGTACTTCTCTTCCCACTCCCGCTAGTCCCCGCCACCAAAATTCTTAACATTTTTGAGAAGGATCTCGCGATTCGGTGAGCGAAAGGAAAGATCGGAGTTCGCTATTAGGTTTCCATCGTCAAGCAAGCATTCCTCCGACCGATTTGCAAATAAGTCCGTTGACTGGGAAAGCCCACATGTTCTAGGAACAGACTCTACACGCTTCACCAAATATTTGGAAGAAATAAGCATCAGGTGGTTCACGAACCCAACGAAAAAAGTCGCTCACTTTGCAGCTTCTTATCTTGCTGAAGCGGAGCGTCTGATATTTGAAGAAATTACCAGAAACTATCGATGAAGCTGAAATAAAGCCTGCTCACTCTCGTTGAGGGTATAACAGATTTATCGCACCAAATTGCTTATTATGTAGAATGTATTTTATGAGTGTCACATCAAACATACAATCTTATGCCTTTTCACACAAACTGATTGCGGGAGTTAATCATATTCATTAAGTTTCATTTACACCTTTTATTGGCGCTCCGCTCACAACACTCTTTCTATTATGTCAAGGGGACTCCCCCTTCCTAATTCTTCATGTCAAGAGGACACACGCTGATTGTCGGTGGCAAAATTATAGCTTTAAGGTGTTTACTCTGCTGGTTATCAACACCGCACGCTGAGCACATAGTCGGAATGAGAAGAAGTGAAAAGAGCACGCCGTGAGAGCTCTTGTTTTGGCTAAGTTGTTTAGTACAGTACTGTGTTATTGCTAGACCTCTCTCCCCCTTGACAGCTTCGACCTCCCTGCGCCCAGCATTTCATTAAAGCTTACACAAATAGTATGATATCGATTACCGTTGACACTCCTCGACTGTCGTTTGTGTTGATACCGGCGACAGGTGGTGGTGGTGGGGTATGTGGTATGCTTTCGCGTTCTCAGACCGCATTTGATAAGATACCTCAAAGATAAAAAATACTAAAAGGTGGCAAATGTAGGGAGTATGATTAAATTTCAAGCAAAAAATTTAATCGAAATGATAATTTAAAATTCACTTTGCCAACAGAGCAACAGGCGAACGGTATTTGTGGTACATTATTACTGCGTATGAACCGTTAATAAAAATTTGGTAGAATAAAACTGAAATTTTACAATTCAAATTGACTAAAAAAAACCCCAAAAGTGATTTGATTGGAAATATTAAATTAATTAAAAATAAAACTTACAATGAACACCATACACGAAGTGCCGGTAATCGGTGATCTCAATGGCAACGAAGCCACATCACTTGCGAGTGTGGTCTCAACCTCAAGCCTCACTAATGCCAGCAGTATTTCCAGCACCATCAACAGCACCAAAGTCACTATCAACTCCACAAGCAGTGACACCGCAGTGCCGCAAACCGAGCAGACCGGGAAGGAGCCAACTGAAAACGCAACCGCAGCGAGCACAACAACAAACGGCGAAGCTAAAAAAGCTGAGGATAAGAAAGCGTCAAACGGCAGTGATAGTCCACAAGCTAGCGCCAGCAAGACCGATGCCACCACCGCATCATTAGCCGCAACAACAGCGACCACTGCAACGCTCACCAATGGTAAAGCCAACAAGAATTTATGTAACGATCTCAGCGAAGATCTGAAAATAATCGGACACTTGAAAAACATCGAAAAGATCAATGAGAAACGACGACTCTTCCTCAACAACACCATCAGTGAGTATACGATTGATGAGAAGACCGAAACGGAGACCAAGACCCAATCGATTAATGGCGCCGAAACGGTGGTTAGCGAAACGCGTATACACACGCGCGCAGAAGAACAAAATGTTAATGGCAAAAAGTTGGACAGCTTTAGTGCAACGGACGTTAGTGGGCAGACAAAGACAATACCAGCCTCGTATTCACCTACTAAATATGCAACACTACCACGTACACCTGGCTCGCCGCCACCCAAGCCGCCTATGTTGAGTCGTACACGTAGTATTGGTATTGGCGATCAGCGTTCATACTCGCCAACATCTGCACCCACTTCACCAACAGCGAGCGGTGCAGCAGCCAACCAGGCACCGTCGAAAACTACCGAAGAGCCTGCCACAACAAGTAATATTGGCGCAAGCGCTGGACTTGCCCCAATCGCCACACTCACACCAACTAGTGACTTAACGCCCACAACACCTTTGGCCAGTCCTAGCGCTAGCCCCAGCAAATCAAGCGGCGCAACGCCAAAGCTTAGCGCAGGCAAAACATTAATTACCAGCGCAGTATTGCCGGCACCCATCAAAGTGGCCACTGTGCAGTTGCGTGAAGAGCCGACGCCCATGCTAAGGCGTGTGGTAGAGCGTCCAGTCTCACTATCACCGGAGGCGCCTAAACAGATTTCCGTAAATCACTATGAACGTCTGATAGAGGAACTCAAGTGTCCCGGTTGCGCGTATCCAATGAAAACGCCAATCTTACTCTGCAAAACTGGACACAGCATCTGTCAGCAGTGCACGCGTGTGCTTCTACTCTGTCCGCTGTGTAAGGTGAGTAGGAAATTTATAAATATTTACACTAAAAACTTATCAGAAGCCTTTAAACTATTAGTTCGGAACTTGGTTGGACCTGCGTGAGCATCCAAAAGGTTTGTTGGGTATCACAGTCTGTGATGCACCCATATTAAGTATGTTGTTTACATAAATATTTCTTCAAATCAGCTTGTTTCCAACGAACATTTTTTTATTGATTTTTATTTATTATCGCAACTCTTATTTACTCACGCTCTTGTCGGCAACAAATTTGTCAATAAGTATTTGCTAAGTACAATTATCTAATTTATGCTGACGTCATATGTAGTACACCGTCGCTGACAGAAAGTAATGGATGAGTTGTCTAGTAGGAGCTCTGACTTCATAGTCGCCTCTAAATTTGAGTTTAGAGACTTTGCCAACCTCATTTTATATCGCCAAAGAGACACTGAGAAGTGATTTGAAGAACTTAAAATTAACAAACAAAAGGTACAGACTTTATCTATCTGAGTTGAAAATCGAGTTCCAGCAAGGGTGGGACCACAAGGAGGTCCTTCATATTTAATCACAGAGACTTCAAGCGAGTAGCGGCTCCTTATTTCGACATCTCGAAAACCTCAGAGATCCTCATATACTCTGTCTTTATAATTTTGCTTTCAACAACCCAATTTTCAACAGATTTTGCTAGACCCTTAGAGTTTATTTATCCAACCTTCCTTAGAAAAGTAGCTGATCTACAGACAAATAAGACTCCGGAGTCCATAAATATTATTACGTCTTTCATGCCTTCCTCTTTGGTTGTGTAGATACCTGGCAATAAAGACACAGTGACCTACTTCTACCGCTATGTCTCCCAGAAAATAAGCTTATTTGATTTTCGCTTCCGTTTTTACAAAATATCGTCCAAAATATAGGATTCATAATTGAGGACATTCTGGGAAAAAATTTCGATAAAGAGTTCTTGTAGTGCGAAGTAAAATATCTGCTGCTGTCCGATTGTGGCCATATTCGATTCTTGTTCAGACTACACCATGGCGTGAGGCAAGTGTGATCAAAATATCTCAATTCTTACGCAGATTTTAATGAGAGTTTACCCGTTCCGAGCCTTCCAGGCTGACCATAATTTATGACATAGACAATGGTTACACTACGTTCATGTAAAGAATGCCCACATGGCGCTTAAAATCTGACTTTAAGATCGCTTTGCGACGAAGTAGCATGTGATTCTTCTTCTTCTTCGATTTATAGCCGAATTAATTATAGCGCGCCATTCATTCCTTTTTTGTGCTGTTTGGCGCCAGTTAGAAATACCAAAAGAGGTCAGGTCACTCTCCACATGAAGGTCTTCCTCTTCCTCTGCTTCCACCGTCAAGTACTGCATAGAATACTTTCAAAGCTGGAGTGCTTTCATTCATTCGGACGACATGGCATAGCCAGCGTAACCGCTGTCTCTTCATTCAATGAACTATGTCAATATCATCATATAGTAGCTCGTACAGCTCATCGTTCCATCGTCTGCGTTGCCAATGCGCAAGAGACCATAAAACGTTCGCAAAACTTTTCTCCTAGAGACTCCCAAAGCCGACACATCAGCTGTTGACATCGTCCACGCCTCTGCACCATCTAGTAGAACGGGTATACACGCATTTAGAGCCCATTATAAGATGGTAAGTTTGCTCCTCTGCAGAGTTCTGCTAACTATTGCGAATACAACGAGACTACAGATGCTCCTAAACCATTCACAAACAAATCTTTCTAATCGACACTACAAACACTATTTAGTCCGTTATACGAGTAGATGGAATTTGGTAATTCAGTTGGCGGATTTCAGTTGGGGACAATAACCAAAACGATATAGGATAGTAAATTACGCATTCTGACAGAATCAAAAGAATTACGGGCTCTTAAAATGTTATATGGCATCGAAAAACATTCGCCGCAAATCTATCAATCGTTCTCTCACTTGCCACGACTCTCTGGGTCCGTACTTACTATACCTGCAATCTTATCTGGAAACCATTTAATGCACCAATTGACGGTTAACTATTCTCCGCAGTCTATTTCGAGTTCTTTATTGGACCATTTATTTTGTTTAATTAATTTTTTTATTTTAATTATTTTAGTTTTTATAATCTTTTGAAAAGGAAATTACCTTTATCGCCAAGGTCGAAAGTATTATATGTACATACATATATAATATTAGGTATGATAGCACATCAAAAGTTTTATCTCTGACGCAAAAACACAACCACTTGAACTATACTTTTCATACACTCCAATTAACAATACTCATTTACTCCGCCACGTTTTAGGAACCCTTCACCAATATACGCTCTCTCACCGTCGAAGCGCTCTGCTCCAAGGCACATTTCCGTTGCGTCAATGCCTCCGGCGGCTGTACCGTACGCTTGCAAATCGATCTCTTGAGTTGGCATGAGAAGCAATGTATCTTCAAGCCGATGAAATGTTTTATGGGACGTGTCTGGGGTGATTGCGAGTGGTCGGGTCGTGAGGCACACTGGAAAGACCATTTGGAGAAGGAGCATGCCGATAAAGTGTTCACCACGCAAACAACCGAAATGGTTTGGAATATGGGCGGTAAGCAGAAACCGCTCACCGGTTACTACGTTTTCATGGTATACGATGAGATGTTCAATTTCTATGAGGTGCACGATAAGGAGCGTATACTCTTTACCATGGCCTGTACATCGACTGTGAAGGAGAAGAAACATAACTACGCTTTCGAGGTGACAATTGTGCATCAGGATAACGAAGCCCTAGCCATAACACAGAAGTATCCGGTACATAGTGAATATGACAAAGATATCTTGGCGGAGGGCACTTGTATTAGTATGCCGCTAACGGATCTAGCCAAATTCATCGATGAGGATAGGGTGAGTCATTGAACAGTGTAATTATTTGTTAGGCAACTCTCAATATCTCGTTCTCTTCCAGTTATTGCATTACCGTGTGCGTATTGTGGAAATCAAGACACCACGCAAATCGCGCAATTCGCTACGCAGCAGCCCACACACCGGCATACATCCGACCGACTTTCAGCAGACACAAATCGAAGGTGTCAACTTGAAGAGTGTGCCGGCAGAGGTGATCGTTACACGTAAGCTGGACGACATACCATATGTGGACAACTCGAGTGCAGCCACACCACGCAGCGTTGGCGGGCAATCGGCTGAAGGCGTGAGTGAAACTGAAGGTGAGCGGGTAAAAGTTAAAAGCATTTACAATGGAAAATTTTCCAGTAATGAAAGCGGCTCAGAAAGTGATCCGGAATTCGAGGCTTTCATAGCGAAGAAATGGGGTACACCACAATTACATTTTAATCGAAAATTTCTGAAAAACCATTCCAACGAGAGCAACTCAGCCGATGAGGTTGGTAGTTCGGGTAAACTTGATCGGAGTTATGCGCCAGATGACAAAATTTCAGTGACCAGTACGAGTACGAGCTACAAGAAGCGTGTGACGAATTCGCTGCGTAAGAGTTTCCGTGGCTTCAAGACACCACAGATATTTAACAAGAAACCGCTTACCGATATGAAAGACAGCAAGTAGTGTACAGTCGCAGACAAACCGAAATGTGTGAACACTCAAAATTAGATTTCTTTCAGAATTTTTATGTATCTGCGTAGATGTGTTACGAAACTCTCGGATTCGTATTGATGCCAATAGTGGATTTTCATTTTTGTCATAATCTCTGTTGCGTTAGAAGCGCGGAGGAGTTAAGAAATTATAACAAAAATCATTATCCCAATGTCTTATGAGTAGGTATTAGTTCTAAATTAGAGGAATACATATGTTTGTTTAGATGTATGTGCATATTTCATGTATTAAAATACAAATAAAAATCTATTTAAATTATCCACTTTCATTATTGTTGTGATATTAATGATGGAGCTCTAGAATCTAATGGAGACTTTATCATCGCGGGCTGAACAGCTGAGAAAGAAGTGGGAAGATGCAAAAAAAGTCGGTTTCATTCGGTTTAAGAGTCATCACTACTTCCAACACAGGTCAGTTTCCAACCGCCGAGTGGTTAGCATTGCGTACTGTCGTTCGGAAGACCAGGGTTTAAGTTCTGGTACGCCCAACATCCAAACAGAAAATAATTTATATAAAAAAATGAAGTAAACTTTTCTAAAACCCGTCGCCCCTCTGCCAGGAATGGCAACTCCTCCGAGTATATTTATGACATGAATTAAAAGCTTCTCATAAAAAGCCATCGGCCATTCAGAGGCGGTTTGGTAAAAACTTTAGGTCCCTCCATTTGTTGGAAAAACATCCTACACACACCACAAATTGGAGGAGGTTCTCGGCCGAAAATCACTTCTCAGGCTGATAGAACCTTACTATGTGATAGATTACGTTTTCTGTTCTGGCAGGCTATACTAGTTGATGTCGTAGAAGTCATCTAAGGTGAGGGCTGGGAACCGAGCTTTTTCGACGGGTTGGAACTTAATGGAGACAGGTGTTAGCTGTGTATGTTTTAGTTGGGATTCAAAGAAGTGGTTAATCGTGAGGGACGTATGCAGTACTAAGTACGTGGGAGTCGACTCTTGAAAGGTTAGAGCTGAGTTTGCTTAGCATTCAGACCTTAATAGTGCCGATAACATCATCCAAGCGAAATGAGTTAATGAAAGTGTTGGTGTAAACGATAGTTTGTCCTTTACAGGTTCTAAATGGAGTATATCAGGCCCTTTCCTGATGTGCTTAGGAGAAGGAGATGGTTGAGAGCTTCTAGAGCATGTCTACATGGATAATCTTTGCGAATGCATCTCAGCAAATACTGTGTCACAGCCATAAATTATGTTCCTTAATTGGGCGCATTGATGGAGCACAAGTGACATTAGGAGGTGGAGGTTTCATTTTTTGCGATCTTCAGGTGGTTAGGTCGCCGAAAAGATGAAAGCAAATGCCCAGATAAAATCTGGGTCAACTCTGGTACGTAGAATCGGCAGCAGACAAAAAAAACTCTCTTCGCCGGCAGCACCTGGGGAAAGGGCAAATAAAAGTGCGGCTGTAAACTATGCTGTAGCGATCTGAGCGCCGGGTACTTGCGAGACGCAGATGAAGAAGCTAAAAACCTGCCAAACTCCGCTCTCAAGATCGTGACTGGAAACCTTCTGATGTCGACAAAGCATTAGTTCCCTAGCGAAGCTTCTACATATGCGACGAATTAAGGAGTATAATGCATTATTAGAAGCGGAATCTGGGGTGTGGTTTCGATGACTGCTCCTAAGGGGGGTTAGCTAACCACTACAAGAACAGCAACAACTCTTTTAATGGTAAAGTTTATTTAAATATCAAAACAACATCTTTTATTGGGAAACCCGTTACCTCATTATCGAGCTGTGGTGAAACTGCTGCTATAATTTCTTCGAATTTCACAACTTTCTTGTTTTTGCTCTCAGTGTATGTATCCAACTTGAATATTCTCGGAGACGTCCTTTGTAGTAAACGCTAGACCTCAGGCAAGACTTTAAATCTCATTAATCCTGACAATCACAGAGTTTTAAAAAGCCCATCGGAGGAAGCAGTGCCTGTTATGGGGTCTCATTATATAGAAAGGCATGCTCGTGCATCCATGAACTATCATTCATAAATTGTCCACGAGCTCAAACAACAGCAAAATACAGAAAATCAACAATAATGACAGTTTACAGATATTTATAAAAACCTTTTACTTAATTAATTTTTTCCAAAGAGCATTTCAGTCTCTAGGTTTTTCATGCACGCTGTGTTTCACTCCGATTCCATTTTGTTTCTCTGCCACCAGTTGAGATTTTAACATTATATTTGACAGCTATTAATTTTGTGCAGAGAATGTAAAATAAGTTCTCTGTTTTGTGATTCCAAACAAACCGGCTGAAAATCGAATAAAGGTAAAAATGTGTAATAAATAAATAGTTTAAGGTAATTTCAATATTTTCCAATTGACCGTAGCAATGGGTGTCACTGTGCTGCTGCCATATCAAATACCGGAAGGCAAAACTGGCGCACAAGCCATTGACTATCTTACTAAGCGCCTATTGGCGTTGGGGGCTATACATACCGGCCAATTCTTGGTCGATTGTGAAACATATATATCCACGCCACAACATGGACCAGCCAAAACTGTTCATGTACTTCACGACTCGGAATATCCAGCTTCAACATTCTCCATACTAGACAACGGCGCAGGTAAACAAATACCACTTGTGGCAGACAACCTCTTCGATTTGCTTATGTTAAAAATGACTACTGTGTACACGTCCAAAAAACAAACAAAAATTGAATCTAAAGGTGCACGTTTCGAATATGGTGATTTTCTAATAAAGTTAGGTTCAGTGACAATGCAGGAAAACTTTAAAGGCATACTTATCGAAATCGAATATCGCCCCTGTGTGGTGCTCTCATTTTGCTGGGAAATGATACGTGAAACATTACAAGGTTTCCTTGGCATGCCAATAGCTAAAGAGTATCCAGCATATTTTTCACAACAAATCATGAACCCCATGGGACAACAACAAATACATCCGAAACAAAATGATCTATATGAACCAATCGATACGATTAATCAATATCTGGAATGTTTCACAAATTACCGCAAGCAGAATGTGTTGCCAGTGGCGAGTAATGTTGGCGTCGGCGCGGGTGCTGGCGGTGTTGCAGTCACGACGCAAAATGCAGCGGCTGGTATGCAGGGTGGCAACCAGCGCATGAGAATGTAGGATTAAAGGATCGGCGGGGGTGATCGCTGAAGTAGAATTAACGTTTTAATTTATGAAAAAGGTCTATATGTTATAAAAATAAGCTGTAGCGTAAATATTTTTGTATTGGTAATAAGAAAATTTTCAAAATTAATATTCAACTATCAGTTGTCTCAGTTTTTGGTGCGAGAAAAGAAGAGTAATAAGAATAAATTTTCGGATGCTTCCATTAAATAATAAAAATGCCACTGAGGAGCATTGATATGCAATATATTGGATGAGTGCATAAGTTCGTGCCCGATTTCAAGTGCAAACTAAAATTGAAATTTTTTGAAGAAAGCGCTTTTATTAATCAATTATGTATTCGCCATCATGTTCGGCAATCCACTCCCAATGTTCAACCAATTTACGAATGCCTGATTCATAGAAATCGCGCGCTTTCTCGTTGAAAAATGTGTCAAGGTGGTTTTTGACGTCTTCCACATTTTTAAATTTTTTTCCATTCAAATTGTTCTGCAGCGATCGAAACAAATGATAATCAGAAGGTGAGTTATTCGCAACTAAAGTCCTTAGAACATCGTCATCAGGCTCATAAGGCCGTCCACTGCGAGGTTGATCTTCGAGGTTAAAATCTCCAGAACGAAATTTCGCGAACCATTTCCTTACTGTGCGGATTGCTGGACCACGGTCCAAATAAACTTCGCGAATATCTTTAGTTGCAGCGCCTACTGTTTTTTCTTTGCGGAATTCGTATAACATAATATGACGCATATGATCTTTTTCGTTGTCCATCTTCCATGCGTCTTTTCACTAAGCAACTCAAATCAAAATGAAGTTATTTTATGCTTGATTTACAGTTCGGACTGTCACCTTTCCAACGATATATAATATGTATATATTTCTTTCACGAGCGCCACTCTCAAACGATGCGAACGGCATCCAGCGGAATCGGGCACGAACTTATGCACTCATCCAATAATAAAGTCAATAAAAACACTCTCTTGTATAATTCTTCAATATTTGCAATATGTAGTACGAACTTTATTTTTTTTCTTTTTTTATTTTACTTGGTAAGTATGTATGTAATTTTGTATGAAATACACGTATGCATGTTATTATTACATATTTTGTTTATTGTATAATTAAAGATAAATGTATATATATATATATTATATGTATTTAGTTATATGCAAATTCATAGCAAATAACGTTTGATTAAAATGTATAATTATTAGTAAGTAAATAGTATATAATAGTATGTATGTGCTTTTTATTCATTTATCGGTAGTTTGTAATAAAAAAGAGCCACGCCTAACGCAGCACCACTTACATAGTTTCTCATATTTTCTATTAAAACATTCATAGGATAGAAATTTGGAATTTTACAATAGCAGCAGGAACTTAAGAAAGATTCACCCTAGAAACAAATAGAAACAGATAGCCAATTTTCTAGCCAAAAATTTTAATTAATTTATTTAAAGTATGCACAAATTTCCTTAACACTATATAATCTAAGTAAATGTTATATAAAAAAAATTCCAAAACTGAAAAGAAATACGAATATAAAGTAATTACATTTTGTTACACATTTTTCGCTGATACATTTTTTCATTCATAAGTAAGCCAAACTCTTTTGCAGACACAAAATTTTGCATTTTTTCCAACATTTTTTATGTATGTATGTATGTTTTTTTTTTTGTTGTTTATAGTGCGTTTTTTTCATTTTTATTCTTATTATTCCTTTTTAAAGATTTCTACTATTTCAAACGACCATGCTTACGTACATTGAGGGAAAAAATGTTGCGATTTTTCTCTAAATTTTTTTAAATTTAAATGATTTTTCCTCTTTACTTTCGCTACATTTTTAAAAGTTTTGCTGCACAAAAAGAGCAGAAATAAGGTATTTTCGCACAAAATACAGCAGTTATTTTTAAGTTTGAAGAAAATTCAAAAATTTTTAAATATTATTTCTGTATGATATTTGACAAATTTTAAATGTTTACTGTTAAAAAATTTAAACCGCAAAAAAAATCAATTGCTATAAAATAAAGAAAATGTCTCAAAATGGTGCTTTTGAATAAGATTTCAAGTCAAGTCAAGCATTAAATTAGTAAACGCCTAAAGTTAGACCTTACTTTAGAGAAATTTCACACTCTTCGCACTTGCGCATGCGTCAATTTTCTTACTTCGCTGTTGCCACCACACCACGACTTGCTCTCGCCGTGATTTATTTAAGTTTATAAATAAAATCACTTCATTTAAGCGAAAATGTACAATTTATATATTATATTTTAAATACAAGTAGACAATTTTTTTTTATAAATTCGAAAAAGCGCAAAATTATATAATTTTAACATCGCTACAGCACAATCGTAAATTTATGTATTTTTTTTATAACATTATAGTGTTTGCTCAAAATATTGTAGCTTTGTACGCTCGACAAGAAATGATTTCTTCCAACAAATTTCTTTTTCGTGTTTGTTGAATTCGTAATTCTGCCTGGCTGGTCTTCTTCGCAATTACTTTATGTGTTTGCATTTGCATAAAATGTATTAGAATTCACTTTTGTTTAAAAGAGAAAACGTCATCTCCCATTCTGTTGGATAGTTTCGAGTTTTTTCTTAGACCAATGGAAACATATAACTCGTACAATTCGCAAGCAATTACGCGCTAATATATAATATTTATGTTTTTTTTTTTTAGTTTTTTACTGACATTTGTAAATTTTTCTCGCATTTAAATTTTTATTATTATTTATCAAAATATATGGCGAAATTCTTTTTTCCCTTTTCCCCATAACCGAAATTTTTTAACTTCCACGTGCATACAAAGTGTGATTTTTCAATTTCAATTTTTATTTACTTATTCTTTTGTACAAATTTATACTCATAATATTTTGCATTGCTGTTTTTCTACAAAAATTTTACATATGTATGCGTACGAAAAAAAAACTATAATAAATTTGCGAGAATTCAAAAATCATAGCAATGAAAACTTAAAAATTACATTCGGTATCAAGTAAAAATACATACATAAAAAGCCGTTTTTTTCATAAAACATGCCTTAAATTAGTTACAGAAAAGTCATTGAATGATTGTTTTTTTTTGCTGTTGCCTGTTGCTTGCTATATATGTATGTCTCTATGTGTTCCAATAAAAGTGATTTTTATTCACCGGCATTTATTTGGCTGCATACAAAAACAAGTAGCGTGTGTTTGCTCCTCGCATTTTATTTACTGCTATTTTATTTGCGTTTTGTGCTCCAACAAACACATACATTAACTTTCAGTAAAGAGATTTAGTTGTATACATTTGTTGTGAATTTTGTTCATCTGCTTAAAATATTGTTACAACAACTCTGTCGCGCTATAATGTGCTAATAAACAATTTCAGTTTTTGTTGTTGTTGATATATAATTTTATTTTGTTGAAATCTCATAACCCCGCTAATTAATGCTTTCTCCGTACTTGTTTCTTCTACATTTTTCCCCCTTCTTCTTCGTTGACTTGGTGATTCGGTTTTATATTGCATTGTTGTTGGTAGTTTTTTTTTGTTATTTTATTATTCTGCATTATAATGAGCATGTTTGTTAGTTAGCTGCTTATTTTGGAATAATTCAAACTTCTTTTGGCTTTTTTGGAGCTCTGTCTTGTATTTTGTTTTTGTTGTTCGCTGTCATTTTTACATTTCCTTTATTTTTACTGTGTTTTTTCTTTATTTTCATGTTGTTTTTGATAATACAATACTACTTTTTTACATATTTATTTATTTATATTTTTTGCTGTCGATAAAAGTTGTGATTTGGTTTTGAATTTACTTTTTTTGTCAGTTTCCTTTTTTTGTTTTCTTTTTTTTCGTTTTTTTGTAGAAAGAATGCAGTTATGTTGTGGTTAAAAAGTGCTTGGTTGCTGTTGTTGTTGTTGTTGTTCTTGAATTTGTGTTGCGTTTTGTAATTAGTTTGTTGTTGTTGTTTTACTTTATTTCGCTCCTTTTTAGTCACGAATTGGAATAGTTTGTGGCTTAATATGGCCACCGTCTCCTTCGGAGACAAAACGTTTACGTCCTCTGCAAAGAGAAAGAGAGAAAGGTGAAATATTAGTTTGAGTATTTGTAGGTATAGAAAATAATAAAATATTTAGTAATACTATAAATTTATACATATAGAGGCAGATTGATTGAAAAAAAACATATAAATAAAATAAAATAAAAATTAAAATAAAATACACTGCAATATACATAAAATAAAATATATTTATAATTGTAAAATAAAACAAAATAAAAAAAATTAAATAAAACAAAATCAATAAATAAATAGAGTAACTTTTTATAAATCTTAGGGGGTAAGGCCACAGTAAATCCCAAAAAACACCTATTCCCAGAATTTTATTTTATGTAAAAAGAAATGCAATACAATTTAGAAAAAACTATTGTTTAAATTAGGTTATCGAACATCCCTTACGTCATTCTCTTTGAAATAATATTAAAAAAAAAAGTGTAAGAATAAAAACCAATTGAAAATGTTGAAAATTTTTTGAGTTATGCTGCGAGAAAAATTCAAAAAATCGTGATTCGGGAAAAATGCACCCTGTGCGCTCGGTAAAAGGGCTCGTAATTTCAATGAAATCAATGTTGGACACGTAAAAGACCTGTAGTTCCTTATTCGAAAAATTTCAAATATTTTTAGGTAAAAAAAAAATTGAAGAAAGGGAAATAATATATTTATAATCTACCATATATTGGTAAATTTTTATTAATATACATATAATTGGAGTTTTGTCACCCTTGAAGCGATTTTCGGCTGTGCCCCCCCTTCACTTTTTGTGGGTGTCTTGTTGTTTTCCAACAAATGGAAGGACTACAGTTTATTCCACGTCGCCTCCGAACGTAATATTTTTTAACTCTCATAACTTTTCCAAAATTAAAATTTGTGCTTTAAGCCTAAATGTAGACCAAATCGACGTTCCGTACCAAGCTAAGAAAATCACTTGCGACCGAATGCAATGAAAAGGAAAAACAATTTGGTTCCGCGAACAGTAAAACTTTTCATCGTATACAAGTATACATGTATGGAAGTGTAAAGCCGAACTTGTAAAATTAAAGAATTTACATATAGAAATAAATTGTTGTCGGTTTTTGTTTAATTTTCTGCACATTTTTCTAGCTTTTAGTTTTATTTTTGAGGTTTCAAGGGAACTTAAGTTTTTCAACAATTTTATTCTATGTGCGCCTAAATGTAGGCAACAATTTTTTTTTAATTTCGTAAAGAGAAACATACTAATCTTGCATATATTTAGGCGTTGTTTTTCAGAGAACATTGAAAGTATTCAAAACAATTTCATGATGTTTTTCATAAAAAAAAATAAAAAAAGAAATATTGCCAAGAAAGTTATTAGTTTCGATTCTAAGTAACAAAAAAAAAAAACTTATTTGAAGTTATTTCAGTTAAACGTTTCTGAAATGCGATAAACTTTGAAATATTTCCAAAGCGAGGCATTACGAGTTATGATGCTTGGCAGGTAAATTTTTGATGCAACCGCAGGCCGCAGCTTACACCATCTCACTGCCATTTGTTTTGGGCTCTGTAAAACTCTCTTGGTGCTCAAAAAATTGGCCGACCGCATAGCAGATGAAAACCATTTGAAAGCGCCCGAAAAATTGCAAGAAATTGGAGATAGTAATGGTCAATAAATAGGAGAATATTTAGACACAAAAACTATAAAAAAAAACAAATAAATAAAAAAAATTAAAAAAGTAATTTAACCAGTTTGATTTGAGCGAATAAAATACCCAAAGAAAATTTCAAAATTTCTTTCCAAGTCTGCTGCTCTACCAGTGAAATTCAAATTCAATTAAATCGGTCAACATTTAATATCACCCACATCATCACCACATGGAAAAGGGAAAGTTATTATTTTCATTGATTTTACGAGCACCGAACAAAATAACACGTCTAAATGCGACATGCACCCGCCGCTTTTACACCTACTCTTATTATTATTACCGTTTGCCCAAGAAAACAGGACACTAAGACGCATGACGTTGCAGCAACATCCTCCTCAGTAACCAACCAACCAACCAACCGCAAAGCAATTCAGCGCATTCGTTGCGCTCATCGGAGCTTTTCGTTGCACAGAACCATTGTGCAAGAAGGATGCATGAATGAAACAGGCGAGTGAGAGCCCGGCAATCTATTTCTGTGTACGTCGTCGGTTGCAGCAACGTGGATTGTGTTGTAACATTTTGCGGCGCTACCACAATTACCGGTTTCTCTGAAAAGCTCTCGTCGTGCTGACGTTTATTGCACACCTTTACATGCATGCAACATACATATGAAAATCGTAAATCAGCGGTTCAATACATATATATTTTAAGACAGCTTTGCTGGAAAGCTTCTGCAGCATCGTGAAGTTCATTGTGTTGTTACTTTTGCTACTGTTGCCGCGCACATTGGGTCAATGTAGTTTTTTGACCGCTCCTTTGGGGGATGTTGTTAGTAGAGTAGTTGGTGCAAAGGTATGTATGTAATATAATTTGCAAATATTTACTCTTAGACTGAAGCATACTTTGAAGAGTTCATGCAAAGTGTACGTGAGCAGTAAAAGGGGTTTATGGTTATAACGTAATTACATAATTTATTTCAATTGTTTTGACGGTAATATTTTCCTATTTGTAAGGTTAAAAATATGAGTAAATAAGCGATAAATAAATGTTGTGTAAAAAATAGATAAAAATTCAGAAAAATAAAAATAAATAAAAATAGACATGTATTTAGCAAATCGCCAAAATGTAGGCAACGGTTTTCCAAACACACTCATTGCATATTTTTTGGCGTAATGTAACCAGGCTTATAAAAGTATGAAAGTTTATTGAATGAAAATTAAATAATGAAAGTTTTTTGGAATCACTTTTAGGCCGTAAAAAGAAATTGGGGAAGTTACACTAGCAAATTTAAAAAGTTAAAACAAAACATGTTTTCCATTGCACAATTTTATCAATTTTTTATTTATAACAGACTATTTTTTAAAGTAATTTGTATTATTTTTAGTTCAGTTGTAGTGTTGTTGTTGTTGTTGTAACCACAACAATATTCCCCAAAGTACCTTTTTGGGAAAGTTGCGCGAGACCCAGTCCTTTGCCGGATAAAAATCCGGTTGGCAACGGTATAAAGAATCGACTGTCGTGGGAACTATTGGATTTTAGTCGTTTCTTACGGCAGTCATACCTGGGCTACAGTTGTAAACGTTGTCTGCTTGAAGACAATAACATCTATATAGAGGAAAGTTTTTGTTATTGCCACTCGAAAGACCACGGTTCGAGTCCTGGTCCGAGCAACACCAAATTTACAGAAAAAAATATTTTTCTGAGGTCGCCAGTCGGCAGTGAATGTGTGCATTTCTGACATAAAATAAAAGTTTCCCATAAAAGTCTATCGACCGGTCGGACGGGACTTCAGAGTATACCTAAAATGTAGATTTATTGGGATAACATCAAAACGCACACCACAAAATTGGCGGAGAAGAAAACCGTTTCAGCCTTACAAAGCCTCATCTATATTTGCAAAAATAAAAATAATAAATATGCATTTCGCAATCGACCAACGTGAAATTCAACGCTGGCGGTCATAGCAGCAACATCTATGACGATTATTGCGTGAGTGGCAGGCCCATCAGTCGATCTCACAATTTAGTTTCAGTTTTGCTTGCAGCTCACTCAACAACAACTCACCGAACAGTGTCGCAGCTATAGCGAGTGAGTTACGTTAGCAGCCAGCACAGCCAGTCGTCAGCCCGCCAACTCAATTACTTACGTACGTATTATATACACATACTCGTCTATATTACCAGCTAGCTGCTGGGAGAGTTCATTCACCCGTTGACCTTTTTTTGCATTCCCTCATTTTCTCACAACGCCAAGTTAAAGGCAGACAAGCAGCAGCAGCAGCAACAGCAGCACCAGCATCGACGACGACGATGGGGAGACGCATGTTGGGCGGCAAAAGCTGCACAGCTGCACTACTCACTACTACACACTACCATTTCAGCTGGCAACTTGCCTGCGTGTGTTCATCAGCTACTGCAAAGCCAATGTCTTTTCCCTGCTGTCGTTGCCGCCTATGCATTGTTTTTTTTATTTTTCTTTTCTTGCTATTCTTCTTCTTCTTCTTTTTTCGTACATCGTTGCAGTCAAAGCATATTTAGGTATTGACGTTTTTCGTATGAAACAAGTTTTCGTCGGCTCTCTGCCGGTAGCACTAAACACCCTGCTTTGCCACCCGCGCAATTTGCACCTCTTACCACTTTTTCTTCGCAAGATCGCCTGATCACTTATGAAGTACGAGTACATACATAGTATGGCTGTGTGTACCTTCAGCAAAGATTTAAGCTTTTTGTTAGCTCCATGCAAGCTGCAAATAACGAACCGGTAAGACAACTAGGGGAATAAATTAATGACAATTACACAAAAAACAAATTGCAATTTATGCCTCCTTTGATTTATATAGTACACGCAGAAATTGGAAGAGATTTTCGAAAAATGAGAAAAAGTATTTCACAATTAATTGGCAGTGCGTAGGTCGTCGGTTCGAGTATTGACAAAGAAAAAAAGTAAATAAAATTGATTTAAATAAAAAAAAAATTTATATTCAAATTACGTTCCGGGTATGTCCGTTTTCATGAAATTAAAGCTCTTCATAAAAATACATCAGCCACTGATCCACCCTCCATTTGTTAAAAAAAAACCTTAAATTGCATACCACAAATTGAAGGCGGAGCTCAGTCGAAATATCCAAAGCGTCAATTCAAATTAAAAAAAAAAAATTATTTATAAAAATCTTTATGTTCTCCAACAAAGGACATTCCCAGCTGACTAGCGACCGAAATTAAAAAAAAATTTCTCAAATTTTGGAAACAGATTGAACCAGGCCTCGTTCCAAGGCCTCCACTCGGCCACAGGGACCGTCAATATATGTATGTATATGTGAAATTGCCGAAACTGAACATTAGACGTACTTTTGCATCAAGTATCTTGTGGTTGTTATTCCCAGACACTCTAGCCCATTCCTGCAA